GGGGGGAGGGGGGGAGGGAGGAGGAGGAGGAGGAGGAGGAGGAGGAGGAGGAGGAGGAGGAAAAAGGGGGGAGGGTGAGACGCGGACGGCACGCAGAGAGACGCCGGGTCAACGCGCCAGGTAACAACGCCTCAGGACACCCGCTGACGTCCTCGTCGACGTCCTTGTCGTTGTCCTCGACGTGAACGCGAACGGCGGACGCGCCGTGATTCCTCTCGAAACGCGGACAGCCCGTCTCGTTCCACGGATAATATGATGTCCTTCCACGCCGCCTCCTGGAGTTTCGCCCTCCTCGCGGCCACGGTCGCGTTGCTGCCCGCCACGCATCGTGCTCCGTTCGCCCAAGCCGCGTAAGTATCATTCTCATCGATCCCCCGTAGCTCCCCCTTTCCACCGGCCATTATCAATCTTATACCACCCCTAGCCTAGCTTTCTCGCTATCCGATCTCCTTTGGCTCTCCGACCCGCACGCAGGTTCCAATCTGCGGGGATATCGTCCGCGCAGCGATCCTCTTTCTAACCACCGATTCCAGGGCATCGGCACCGTGTAATCTTACGATCTCGATGGCTCAAAGATAACGAGCTCTGTGATCAGGTCCGATAACGGGACGCATTCATCCGCGGTTAATTGAAAACTCCGTCCTCGTCCTGTGCTCGAAAACGGAGACGTACGCGATTCACGAGTGGGAATATACACGTACGTGCATATCCATCCAGCCGTCTCTGAATCGATAGCCAGTGGAAACAGTTCGCGGACTTGCCGTGTTTGTATGCGTGTGTGTGTGTGTGTGTGTGTGTGTGTCTGTGTGTTTGTGTGTACGTGTGGGTGTGTGTATGTGCAAGAACGTGTGCGTACGCGTGTACGCGGATGCGTGTTCGTATGTGCGAAGGTGCCTCTTTGAACTTCCCGGCCTTACGAATCGGTGAAGTTGATACCCGCAATGGAAACAAGCACGCGCACATTAGACCCCGTGGCCCCCGTGCGGACTCCTCGTCCCCGAAGAATCTCCAGTTTCCTCGTGACCCCGACCACGGGCGCGAACCACCACGGAGTTCCAGTTAATCAACGGATACCTAATGCGGCTAAAATACCGCGGTGTAAATCAATAGACGCAGCTGATTCTACGCGGGCCCCGGCACGGGGATTTAATTAATGATCCATAATCCTATATCTCGATTATACGCTGGCAGCCAGTAGCCGGAGAGCGCCGCGCGGTGCATGCAGCCGTCCGAGCCGGGGGACGAAATTGGTCGATAAACGGTTTTAATGGGCGGCGATGTATGCGAAAAACGGGATGTGCCGCGAAACGCGTTCTCGCGCCTCTCCGCCATCCTTGGGACATCTGATTCTCTGATGGACACGCCAGTACGTGTCCCCACGTGTCGACCCTGTGTGCATACATACAAACGCGCGCGCGAACACACGATCTCACGCCCGCGTACACAAGCACGCGCGCGTACACGTAGCCGCACGGAAACACGGGCAAACGTACACGAGACGTCATCTATCTTCGACATGGCACCGCCGACAATACGCGGGGGCTGCGAGGGTCTACAGCCTTCGCCGCTGTCTGGATGCACGTTCGTGATTGCATGTAAATGAGCGGAAACATGCAGCTACGTTGCATGCCCAGACCTACGGCACACCGAGCGGGTGCACGCTCTTACAATGATCACAATGACGCCGCCGGCCCAACCCTTCCGTGGCTCGAAGACGTCGGCTAGGCGTCGTCTCGCGCTTTAATGGGGTCCGCCGCGTTTACCGTTTATGTTAAAAAATTCATTTGTCACGTTGTTATCGTTGCGGCGGTCCCTCGAGCCGTACCACTAATTACAGCCACCAACGGCGAGACGCGTTCTCGGGAGTCGACCGCGCGTATTTGTTCGTTCGGTAATTTATTGTGTCGCGAGTGCTGTGACGGGTCCTGCGGTTTTTCTCTCTCTCACTCTCTTTCTCTCTCTCTCTCTCTCTCTCTCTCTCGAGAAACGATTGGTGTACAAGCGTCGATCGGTCACGTCGCAGACGACACGGCGGTTCGCTCGCCGGGAAGTTTAAGAAACGCCGAGGTGTTGCCGAGAAATTTCAGTAATCTCGATGGAATTCGCCGAGCTTGGAATCGTGTTTGCGTTTAACGCGGCACGCGTGGTGTACACCACGATCGGGCACGAGGACGGTCCTGCCTGTGATAAAACGAAATATGTCAAACGGAGTGCATTATGTGGCGAGCTTTTTGAAAAGAAACTTATCCCTTTGTGTCCTAAAATGTAGCGTGAAGTATAATGTTCCTGAAACCGATGCTGCAAATGCTTGGTTGTTTCTCTTTTCAAATCAATATCAATCTGCAAGCACACAACATTTTGTTGCCTACAGCATATCTGTCGATTGGACAATTTAGAAAAGGTAACAGGTCTGCCATGAGTATAGTGATCGCCATTTCGCGCCTGTGTCTACTACTAATTTTTTTAACTTCGATCAATATAACCACTGGTTAACGAGAACAGCGACAATCCAATCGGCTCGATTTTTCATAAAATAAAATTTTATTGGAAAAGGTTTTATCATTCATTTTCGATATGTTCTGCTGTGTAAAGTAGCCGTATGCTCCAACACAACGTAGCAATTTCGTTAAAAAAAGATTTTCGTAACAACTGTAACGTAAATATTTTCAGCGATTAACACGTGAAATGGCGCAATGCACTTATACGTGCAATTATTAATCCATACTGAAAAATTATTTATTCTACAAAGCATATTGCTTGCAAATACATTCTCAGAGTTCAACGAATATTTCTTTCTTGCGAAAGAAACGCTTCATAAATATTACTAGTTTCTTCCTAGGATTTCTTGACACGTTCAATTACAACTGCACATTAAAATAGAAGAAACAGTTCCATTTTTAATAACGGAAGGGAACGTACGCGAATCAGGGATCTTTGTCAAATGGGACAGGTATCTCGTTAATCGTGTGTGTGGCGTGGGTGAGTTGTCTGATCGGTATATAGCCAGTGTCTCGAGAATGACAGCAGCTTCGCGAGAACAATGGCGACGGTGAAATTAGTTGTACCGGCCCATCCCTTCTCGCATTAACGCGCGATCCACTAGCCTGGTATATATGTAATCCGCAAACGTTTCAGCAACCCGAGTACTTGATATCGAGCGCCATTTTCCAAGAATGTTTAATGCATTTAGTTATCGGCCCCCATTTTCACGACAGCCTTAATCGGTTACCAAGACTCCTCGCAAACTGCATCGCTACAAAGAGAAATATTGCTGTTCATTTTCTTTAATGCGATTTCGTTTGTTGATCCGGTTACAGTCCCATTGCATAATGAACATCATTCAGCGTTCATCGCTTTTTCTGTTTGTAATGTTTGTCAGGATTTACATTGACTCGCTTAACTTCGTCTCGATTAGAATTTAATTAAAATGAACCTAAAAAGCGAACCTAAAAAACCTGTAAAGCGATCAAATGTAGATATCTCTCAATTCGAATATTATATTGCATCTCCCTGTTGTTTCAGTCTGTACGAAGTTGAATGAGTGGAGAAGCAAGATTAAAATTAATATAAATTAATGCGTTAAATATGTTAAAGATTCGCGTGTCAATTAAATCAGTCCTAGATAAAGCAATTTCATATTTTTAAAGGAGTTGACAGAAAAATATATATATGACAAAATTGAGGGTTTAGATTAGAGTAGAGTAATCTTAAAGAACAAGACACGCATAATTTTCCATTGTGAAAACTGCAGTTACGTGTATAGTATATTTTACCCGATGGAGGAAATTTTATACAAAGTTCTGTGATATTATTATTCAAATAAGAACTTATTTAAAAATATTTGAACTTTCGTAACGGCTAGGAATAGAATCGCACACTGGAACAAGGTTATATTATTATATATTATTATATATGTGGAGTGAAAGACGCGATAAGCACAGTTCTACTTTGCATTCAGGCTGCAGCGAGCCCTAATTAACCTAGCCTCTTCAATAAGAATCAGAAGCAGGAGAAGATGCAAAGCGCCAAGATAATATAAATTATTTTAGAGAGCTTAATGTAGGTCGCTATCCTAAAATGTATGAATTAGGGAAAGTAGATCAACACCCAAAGATCGGCGGTGAAAAGCGGCGTCACTGGTTGCTTCAATGGAAATTACTGGAAGAGAATGCACGCCGCCGTTCGTTACCAAATTTCGTGGAACATTTTAGGTTACCGTTACATTGTGAGTTTAGGGTATCTCGATGATGATATCTGAACGAAATTGAGCTAAGAGGATTACAAGTGCTTCATATTATTAAAGACTGTGTTCGCTTGTTGAATTATTGGACCCATTAATTAATAGCTCCTATCGGCCACGGGATGAGAGATATTTTTAATCACATCGGATACTGCCACATGGCAAATTTATAGCTTCATATTTATCGTTGCATTATAATTAAATTTTGCATTTCATATCAATTCCAGGAAATATAATATAAATATCAGGAAATTACACGGGACACGTAAATTACCATCCTTTATAAATGGCTTGAATTTTCAATGACGTTTTCTTGACTCGAATAACATTATTTATTATCATTTGGTAAATGTGAATTAAATTTTTCAAGCAGAAATAGATAGCAATCCTGTTTTTCATACACTTAGAAATCATTTAGCTTGCTTGTCCGATCACTTTTACTACCATTAATCTTGAAAAATATTGACAGAGATGTATGCTATCGTATATTCCTGAAAACAATTTGAAAGAAATTGGCAACCACAAGACATCAGCAATGATGGGAAATAAATAATACCATTATGACAGTTATTAGCGTTTATACCAACTACGAATCGTGAGTAACGGTCGAATACATTAATCAGCGTACTCAGTAGCATCCAAGCTCTTGCGTTATTTGTGCAGCAGAGAATTTTTGTACAATATCGATTTGTTTCTAAACGACATATCAACTGAGCTTAAAAATCTCAGCTTACCTTCAACATTGCATACAATATTTGCTTGCTAGACACCTCGAATTATTCCAAATAGTATAACAGATTAATTGTAATTAAAAATAAAAATCAAATAGAAAACGCATGAACTAAATTAGTATATCAAAAAAAAGCTACTTCACACTGAACTTCTTCTCTAAAAAAAGGAACTCGAGTAGAAATTATATTTATAGAATTTCAAGTGCTATTAGAACGGTCTGACCATAGACGTCCTCTTCTACTTACGGTGAATACGAACAACCCGGATGACATGCGATGCAGTATCATTTGTCTTTGCCTGGAAGTAAAAATGCGGAATGACGTGGTTCTTTCTTCAATATTCGCGTCATTGTTACTCATCTTTATTATTATATTATAT